AAGTAAGGACAAATAGTCAATTTCTTTGAATACGTCCTTAAGTTACACTTGCGGAATTAAAGAGATATGTTTTTGTGGTTATATTTTAGAAAAAATATTACTTGATTCAAATTAATTTTTATTATTTCAAAGATATCCATTAATTAACCTAATTAAATGATTTGATAAATCAAATATGTCCTTAAAGTATGAAAATGTTCAATAACGGCTGGAGCTAATAAATGACAAATTAATTAGTGAGCCTAAAGCCAAAAATAAGTTGAAGGCTTAAATTATAATTATTTTACTATTTATGAGATTTTTAAGTTACTTTTTTTTAATAAAAAATATTTTTATGATATTAAACTCTATATATATATATATATATATATATAACAAGATTTTCCTTTTAAAAAACTATTAAAAAGGTAAAAAATAAAATTAAGAAAAAATAATAAATCTTAGTAATGATGAGAAAAGAGATAAATAACATAAATATATTTATCATAATATAATAATATAAAGGTGAGTATATATACTATGTTAAAAAATATTTGTACTATCTTCGTTTTATAAAGAATGATTTAATTTAACTTTGCATTAGAGTTGAAGCAAATAAAGAAAACTTTTAATCAAGTCCTAAATTAAAATTATATCAAATATACAAAGTTGTCCTTTAATTTTGTGGCCTTAAATATGTCACGTGAAAAGTTATTATAAAAAAAAATTCATTTTTTTATATAGGCTAAACAAAAAAATAAAGTCATTTTTTTAAAAAAGGAGAGAGTATTAAATAAGATATTGTAACTCTTTTGAGTTTATGATAATAAGGAGGAGAGATAATAAGATTTTCATTTAAAAAATATAAAAATAGAAGGTAAAAAAGAATTTAAGAAGAAAATATATAACTTACCTAAATCTCATAGTGTAAAAAGTAAATTATATTTTATATCTACTCTTTTTTCTAATTACAATAGTCTCTTAAAAAAATTCTACCTTTCAGATATATAAGTCACCATCCAAATACATTGGTTCACCATTCGGATACATTAATTCTAATAAAAAAAGAATCTTTTAGTTGCTCTAAAAAATATTGAAAATTATTAAATACCATAAATTACGCTTACATTTCTTCTTACTCTCAATCATACAAAGGCAAATCCTATCAGAATGAAAGAATTTAAAATTTCAAATTGCTTCCCCCATCAACAAACCTTTAAGATTTGATTAAAAAGACTATGTTGAAATTTTGGATAAGCGAGGTGAGTTATCAAGGATACAAAAGTGATGAAATTGTTATTAGACAAACAATTTCCTTTTGAATATTTAACTTCATCGAAGATCCTTTCAATTTTGATTTAAGATTGTCAAAAAATTGAGATTTAATATTTCTTTCTTCTCCAGTTCATCGAAGATCCTTCAATTTATATTCAAAATTGTTGAAAATTTTGAGGTTCAAAATTATTCTCCTAGTTTATCGAAGATCCTTTCAATTTTGATTCAAAAATACATCATGAATACCTTTGCTACTTGGCATTTTACAATTTATGTATCTTGTTTAAATAGATAAATATTGTATTTATAATAGATACATTAAATAAATAATTGTTTCCCATAAGATTTAATATCGACAAATTATCGTGTGAAAATTGCTATGTGATTGATACATTTAGTATAAGTTCAAATTTACGTATCATATCTAAAAAATTAGTGAATGATTATTATTTATGTATCTCGTTTAAATTGATAAGTGTTGTATTTATACTATATATATTGAGTAAGTAAATTGTTGCTCATAAGATGATAGATTTGAGATTGATACATTACTGTGTAGTAGTTGCTATATAATTGATACATTTATTATAAAAACTGAATTTACATATCATATCTAAGAAATTAGTACATGATACATTACTATTTATGTATCTCGTTTTAATTGATAAGCATTGTATTATTACGGAATACATTAAACATATAATTGTTACACATAATTAAGTTCTTTGATTTGAGATCGATACATTCCGTATAAATTAGTACATATGCATCATGCCCGTATAATTTGACATGGCTATGTATCATATAAAAAAATTATTAATATGAGAAACAATTGATATAGTTAAAAAAAAAACAGTACTACACATACGTAACAAACATATGTTACATACCCGTTTATATAAATGACATGTTTTATGATTCATTTTTGTCCTAATTTTCTCCGAATTTAGTTTGTCATGTCCACGTATGATTGGTTTATTTTGTGTATGAAAATTACTCCAATATTCGATCACAGGATTTTTCAAATAAAGAATTGGAAAGAAAAAATAAATAAAGAACTATCTCTTGATTGATTAACTTTAGATCATTAATCAGAGAGAGAAAATATTTAAAATTCAAAATAAAGGAATGATAAGGTAATTGATGATATAGTGGAGTGATTATAGAAATGAAAAAATAAAGGAAAATAGTTGAGTTGAAAAATTGAATGTTATGTATCTTAAAAGAAGAGAATTTGAGAAGAATTTTTGTAAAATTTTAAAATAATAGAAAATAAGGCAAGAAAAAATTGTAGTTAGATAATTTTTTCAGTATATTTACCATAATATAATAATATAAAGGTGAGTATCAGCACTATCTTTTTGATAAAAATATTAAGTTAGGCACTGTATTATAATACTTTTTTAATTTTTTAACATAAAATTGAAATAAAAAGATATTTAAAAACTCAAGAAAAAGAGAACTATGATTCTTAGTCAAAGAGAAATTTTTCATTGTTAAGAAAAAAGAGATATTTATCTTAACTATTTAATAAAAAAATTTCATCACACGAAAGAAGAATAATTTCACTAGTAATACATAAATTATCGATACTGTGTCTTTTGTAAAGAAACTTCTCATTAAATTGTTATATTTGGAAAGTTTAAATTGTAAAAGAGATGATTATTATGGAAAGCACATTCAACATCTAGTCAACAATTTTAGCACATATATAGAGATAAATAAAATGAGGAAAGTATTTAAAGCATTATCCTAAAAATTAAAATAAAAAGAATATAGTTATATATTCCTATAATAGTTACAACCTTAAAATGGTATAATAATTAATGTCTCAAAAATATGATTGATATAAAAACATCGTTACAATTCAAAGCAATAACCTTCGTCATACATTAACATTTCGAAAATGGATTCATTGAAGTTTCTATTTGTCACTCTCTTAATCATGTTTCTTCTTGTTCCCTCTCAAGCCACAGGTAGTTTATCTTCTTGGTTTTCTCTATTTTTTTATGTAATCTTTTAAGTTTAGAAAATCTTAATAACTCATATGTTTTAATTGATCTCTCTGTTTTGTGAAAGTTCGATTTTCTATTTTGTAATCCACCATCCATTTTGAAGGGGGAAATGATTTGTTGAGTTTTTACGTAAATTTGATTTATTTATTTATTTACATCTTTTTTTTTCTTTTTTTAAGGTGATATTGAAATCAATTATGATACTTCTTCGGATTGTGTTTTCACAAGCAATTGTAAGACCAGGTTGGATTGTGCTGGCCCGTGTAGAAAACTTGGTATTTTGGTTGGGTTGTGCGTTCCGGATCCACACCCGGGTGGCAAACTTGTTTGTTGCTGTTTTAATGCTAAAAATTAGCGATCGATAAAATTTTAAATTAAAGAAATTTTTATTATGTTAATGTTGCTTCATTTTGTTCTAAACTGTTCTGATTCCTTTTACTAGTTTTTTTTTTCTTATTGTGAAAAAAAATCGTTTTAAAAAAATTATATTTAATTAAATTAGTTATATAGATAAAAATGAAGAGAGTAATTACAAAAGCAGGGTTTTAAAGTAAGTGGATTGAGAAAGGTTCTTTGATCTAAATCAAACATTATATTGCAAAAGCAAAAAAAAAACTAAAATAGAAACAAAGTATTTAAGTTTGTTTGTATTAAAAATAAATCGAGTGAGTGGTTACAGCAATGAACCGTCCAGTACTAAGCTAAGCAAAATTCGTTATTATTGTATAGTTATCCACTTGTATGCCTCGTTTGCTTTCTTCTTCTTTTTTTTTTTCCATTAGCTTCCAAACGCACAGTAGTTACATATATTATTATACATAACTCATTCAATAAAAAGAATTACTTTCTCAACTAATTTGTTAATGATTGAAACAGTTATTCATATAGTACCAAAAAAATCCTTGATGGAGTTTTCCATGTTAATAAATAATTTGAATTCAAACAATCAGGAGCCGATTTACTGCAAAAAAAAATTATACTACTGTATATAAATAACATTTTGTTTTTTCTTATACTAATAAGGCGAATAGCTATTGATAAACATTAGAAAAATCAGCTAATTCATTAGCACGTATGATATTGTTAAGTCTAACTCAATCTCAAAAATTAATTTACGTCTATATACCCATCTTCAAACTCTAAACTTCTATGTAATGCTTTTATCAGTCTAACTTTCAAACTCTAAACTTCTATCTTTAAACTCTAAACTTCTATGTAATGCTTTTATCAACCTAACTTTCTAACTTTAAACTTATATGTAATGCTTTTATCAACCTAACTTTCAAACAACCCCTTTAATCTTCAAATCAACCATTACTTTTTGATAATATATTTCTATACAACATTCAATAATCTAAATTTAAACATTGAAAATGTAACACATAACACAAATTAGGAAAAAAGGGGCAAAATTGGAGTGAGACGAGGATGATGAAAACTTGACCCGTTTCAATCCGGTCAACCCAGATGCCTCTGAGCGAATAGTACTCATAGAACGGTGCCGAGCCGGTGAATAGGCAAGGCAAGAGACGAAGCCCGGTCCGATTCTCTCTGGGTTAATTCAAGAAAAGCTTTCGTTTTCTCGAATTTAGTTTGAGTACGAAACTAATAATTAACTTGTTCAAGGTGTTTTAAAGTGAGAGGTTTTGAAGTTCAATTTTTCAATCATTATATCTTTTTATTTATGGAATTCCTTACTAAAAATTAAGTGATTAATGAGAACAATTCATATACTGTCAAGTCCCACATCAATCGGAGGGATATATATTGGCATATTATGGAATAAAAAAGTTAATTGCAGAAAACAGATTTCCATTAAATTTGGATCTGCATAATACACCAAAAGATAAAAGAGGAAGAGAAACCCTTAATATACATTCTATTAATCTACAAATAAAAACAAGATAAACTTTAATGCAATTCAATTCATCCACAGCCGCCACAAGATTCAATGAGCTCCTAATTTGTCTTGTCAACAACATTGTTCATCGACTTTAGATTTCGCCATAAATATTTCCCACTTGCCATATCCACAAAAACCCAAAATCCGTTTTGAATCTTCTGAAACTTGTGAAATTTCACCTCACCAGAATCAGATTCTCGTCTCTCTTCCTCCGATTTGCTTTTCGTTGTTTCATCATCGGGATTTGCGAAATCTAGATCATCGGAAGAACGAACCGTTCTCCAAGCTAAATAACCAGCCAACAATGCCGAAAAAAATACCAAGATGAATCTTAAAGGACACATTACGATGATGAAATTTTTGTTTTTCCCCAGAAAAAAACTGATGAATAATTTGGGTATTTGGGGTGTTTCTTATATAAAGTAATGTGCCCAGAACGCGTTCCTAATCCTCATGGAACAAGGAAAAGTAAAAGGGGCAGGAGGAGTTGTTGGCTGACTTTTAAGACTAGGTATATTTGCAGTATAGTCCCTATACTAGTAACAAATTAAAAACTTTATCTTTCTACTATAGGACTAGGAAAATTTGACCTCTTATTAATAGAATTGTGCACTTTTGATCCCATTCATATGTCAACTCAATTTTTACAAATTTGAGAAGTCAATTTTATTTTTTTTAATTTTGATTGTCAATTTGATTATTTGAATATGGAATCTTTAAAAAATTTTAAAAAAACTACTTAATTACACAAATACACATACATAATCTACTAATTTAATATATATTTTTAAATAATTGCTTATTATGACACCATTTGATAATTTTATACTATATTTGAAAAGAGTACATTGAAATATATCACTCTTTAAACGGGGGGTGAAAGGGGCCGTAAAATAAAGTCCACGCATCTACCCAACTAATCACACCCCTAAATTACTTACATTTCAATAGGTTTTTTCTTCTAATTTTGAATACTTATTCGAAGCTTTTTAACTAAAAAAATTCATTGATTTAATTTTTTGATAAGCTATTTTGATGGATAAATATCTTTTTTGTATAATATATATGTTTTATATATCTGATACATGATATCATTTTATCAGATACACATAAAGTATGTATCTAATAATATTATTGTCATTATATAAGATACATGAAGTATGTATCTTATTCATATTATCACTATATTAGGTAAGTGAAATATGTATCTAATACATGGTAATTTATATTGATTTTAAAAGAAAGATTGTCTATTATAATAAGATAAAGATTTTATCAGAATCATCGTATGAAGTAAATAATGGTGGAAAATAAGAAAATACAAAGGAATAAATTTAAATTGTGAAATTTTATTTGAATCACGAATACGTAGACATCATGAATAATTAGACACATGATTTACTCTTAGGTTGGGTGTGTTTTAAGTTATATTCCAATTTAGATATACAAAGATAGATATAGTGCATGTCTCTGAAGCATATGTATCTAGATGCGATATATATGGTGTAGAACATAATTTCAAAAATAGTGAAGACACACAACTAAACATAAACTAGTAGAATTTGACTTTCTTAATTTGAATAATACCACATAAATTTTGATATTATTTTGAAAGTATACATTATTTGACTACTATATATATTGAATTTGTAATGTTAACTATTATATATGTTTGACGATAATGTAATTCTGAACTAATATAAATATAGTATATCTCCTATATAATAGATCAAAATACATCACTTAACAAATTAAAGATCAAAATATGTTGATTCAATTATAATTAGGACAAAATTTAATTTATCAATACTTGAGGGATCTAAAATACTACAACCATCTCCTCATGACCAATTCCTTATTTTTATTATAATTTTAGGTGTAATAAGACAAGGTGATGGGAAGTGGCAACCACTTACTACTTCAAGTGATTACTATATACTATATTATATATTACTACGTCAAGCCAATATTCCGGCAGCCATCTAGAAACCTTCTTTTTGACATTTATTTTATTTTAAAAATCATTTCTCAAATCAATAAATTAAATCCCAATTTTGAGTCATGCAATGGTTTTAGGTACGGTGTGCTTGGCATGCAGTGATAAAAGTCACAATTTTAACTATTATATGAAATAAAAAAAACATTATCCATAAATAATGTAATTTTCAATACGATAGGTCCTATCTAACTCGATCCATGTTATCACATACAAATATATTTATTAAAAATCAATTATTCTTTTAGATGTTTGAATCAACACGAAAACATCTCAAATTGTACAAATGATTTTTCTTTCTTGGATAATATGTTATATACTGGAAGTAGACTTTCATTAAATCTTTGTTTTTTTTAATATTTTATTATTGTAGGTTAAATGCTGAAGTAGACTTTCCATTTAATCTTTCATCTTTTTATTTTTTTTTATCATAAGAAGTGGAGTAAGTGCTAAAGCATATACCACTTCGTTGACATTTTTGCTTGCTCCCAAGGACAGTTTGGTCATTTTGTTGACATTTTTGGTTGCTCCAAGGACAATTTGGTCATTTCGTTTGTAGCTATATACATGACTTCGCTGAAAATATGGATCCCACGTCAATTTCACGTGCTACGCATTATTGCATTTGCGACGGCTTTTTGTTGACATGTTTTATCGTGAAGCCAATTTCATCATTTATCAAAATTATATTTAATCATAAATTTAAAATCTATTTAATCACATACCACTTAAATTAAATATTATTCATTGACATGCTTGATTACAGCTCACCATTTAGATTATAAATTTAAATAATTGACATCACTTTAAATAAATAAAATTTATAAATACATATTGGCTCGAGCTCGTGCATATACAGCACGGGACTTTCCTCACTAGTCTTTTAAAGTTTCACAATATTATGAAATAATTAAGTTAAAAGTCCCAAAAGAAATAATATATGAAGATTTTCCTCATAATAACTATGAAGTTATTTTCAATAAACTGGCGAAAAAACATATCGACGAAGATATAAAAAGGAGAAAAACATGTATAACGAAATTAAAAGAACGTAAAGAAAAGAGAAATCTTTTTTGAGATTATACAAAATAAACATTTCTTTTCCACAAATGGAAACAGAAGAGTTCACAAATTACAATTAACAACTAGCTAGTAATACAATTCATCATGGCCATAAGATTAATTTAGCCTGAGATTGTTAAATTTTCCCCTTAAACCAAAAAAAGGAGATCAACTTTAATTATTTATCATCTCCATTATTTTGGCCTAATTCAGCTCTATCATCTTCTTTAATAGTCTCTAATTTAGGAGCATGTGAATTTTTTTGTGGAAAAACGAAAAGTGAAGGAGCAACCTCAATCCAAGGCTTCAAATTCACCATCTTCTTTGCCATTGTCATAATAAAAATAATACAATGTATCGTCAACTCTTTAACTTTCTTTCTCCTTAAAATATATGTGACAAACAGAAAACGAGGAACAAATTGCTTGATGATAATAATATTTGGAGAGGGGTTTAATTTATATAGGAAGAGGAAATTAAAAATATCAAGAGCTAGAAGAATTACGTGTACGGTGCTAAGTGACTCCACGTTGAGTAGAATGCAATAAATAGAGACAAGAACAATGGAGGCATGTGGAAATATATGAATTATTGTTTGGTGGAATGGCCACATCAGTTTGTTTGAAAGAGGGTGAGCTACTGACTATACGAAACTTTCTCTTATGTATTCTTCACACGTATGTACTTCTAGAAATATCTTCTTTTTTTAGTATGTGTTGTTGCACTGATTTATACGTTTGATTTGTTAGGTCATATTAAGTAATAAAATCATATTGCGTTAGAGATACTCTTTTAAGTTAATAACATGTAAGGTGAATCATTAGAGAAACTTCCGTATATACAATTATAATTTTCTAATTACGATTCATAGCTACATATTTTATAGAGAAGAGTGGTGAGCAAGACTATGAGAGGAATGAGAGCAGTGAAGGAGATTGGAAGAGGGAAGAGAGTGGCAAGCGAGAAAGGGCATAGAGTGAAAGAGAGACGAATTATATATACATATCAATCAAAATAATTATATGTATGTAACTGCTATATATGTTTAATTTGTATCTAGCAAGCGAGATTGAGTGAAGGAGGAAAGAGACGAATGAAATTAGGAGAGGGAGGAGAGAGGGTAATAATTGGGATAATTCGTATCTCATTCGTATAATTTGCAGGTACATTTGTATAATTCGTGTAATTTTGTATAATTAAGTATTACAAAGTTCAAAACTATATAAATATGATAAAACTCGAAATAACTAAGAATTGATACAAACATGAATATATGAACTTTAAATATTTATACAAAATACATTGTATAAATTACATTATTGCAAAATTCAAAAACTACACGTTTTTACGAACTATAAGAAATTATATTAAAAAGTTTGAATGTATATGGTGATAAAACTGAAAACCAATGAATATCATTGTCATACACAAATGCAAATCAAACGAAGAATTATTAGTTGTGTATTATACAAATGTTACAAATTATACAAACATGACTAATTATACAAGTTCAAAATCAGATCACATAATTAATGGTTAATATTAATCGCAAGTAATAATCATCATAAATTATATATAGCTATAATGACGAATTAAGTAATTAGAAATTTATTTAACCGCGTAATTATTATGGTCAACAACGATTAACGACAATGATTCAGTGATGATAAGAAACTTAAAAATCATGATGATTTGCAATGGGAGAGAAGAGGGGGATGTGCAACATAATCCAAAAGAAAAAATGAAACATGTAGTCAGTCGTAACAAGAATAATGGTGATTCAGCAGATTGTTGTTTTATGCCATTGGGCAACGAACAAATGCTGGTTTACCCACACCATTTCCCATCCCTAACTGTGAAGAAGTGACTACTAAACATTATCTCCTCAACATTTGTAATGGACTATAAAGACTTAATCTCCAGGAAAGCAAAAGTGCGATATTTTACCATGTAGAATTATTTGTAGGTAGCAAATGGATGTAAACTAAAATGTTGCTTATTGGTTGTTATCTATGCGGTTTGGGAGTTAATCCCTCTGGCGATTTCTATTTGTCATTAGATATTTAAAAAATATATTAAAAGTACTATAATTCTATAAATTGCAATTTTATATATATGAAAAGATATATCTTAAATCAAAACTCTAGTTATTTGACTCTAAAAAAATAGAAATAATAGTGAACAAAAAAAAGTACAAGGTGACAACAAAACATACCCCATATAGCCCGTGTCCTAAGGTCTAGAGATAGATATAATATAAGTGATCATCACTCATGTCTCAAAAGTAGAGAAGGATTAGAGAAGTTGCTTCCATAAATAGACCAAGGAAGATTGATTATCACGTCTCAAAATTAGAAAGTAGTTTCTGATAGATTCTCAGGTCAGTGTTTTTCACTACGAAAGGCGATAAATAGCAAT